ATATGTACAACACAGAATGCCTCCTGCCTGAATATATGTAATCTGCATCTAGATCAAGTGACTGGTAGTAGTCAGTCGAATCATCAATAAGTAAAGAAGGGACTACATACTGCTCAAGTTGTCCTCCTCATCATTCTGACAGCCTGGTTACACTCCTTACTACTCACAAAGGAGTGTGTCCAACCTCTCATTATCCAGCATTTGATCCTACTTGTGTGCTCAGTATGTAGACAACTCATACTCTAGCTCAGAACCTGGCAGAATGTCTGGTTCACCTATAGGAGCACCTGTCTCAGCATCCTAGACAGTGTGTCTAACCACATTAGACAGTCTTAGAACTACAACCTCTACTACCTACTTTGTTAGAGGAGTAATACTCAGTTTGTCAACAGCCATAGTATCTTCATGCCCTCAAAGTGGTTTACTGATCAGAGCATCCTTGTGGCTACCATACTCTGTATTGATTTGTAACACCCATGTTTTGAGTTGAAGTATGAGCTACTGTAGTGTAGTAAGCACAAAGCTGGCCTGTACACTTGATACAGTGAGTGCATCCCAATCTGACTGTACTGTCTTGTCAGAAGACCTAGAGACAATGTAATGTCCAAGAACTTACCTGCAACTGTACCAGTTCTGCCCTCCACTCTGTTACTACTAATAGCCAATCCACTGTCCTTACATACTGTAGCAACTCCTGTGTCCTTTAAACAAGGGCCCACACTCAGTTGTAGACCTGATTCACTTCTTACAACAACAACATGGTTAAAGAAGAAGGACAAACTCAAAAAGAAGTAGAAGATTGAAACATGAAGTGTACTGGTTTGCAAATTTACACCCTTGGGTGTGACTGGGGACAGTCACATTCTAAAACACCTGGGAGATGTTATGCTCACACAACACATACATTCTGATACATTCTGATTGGAAGGGCTTAGTTGTATCAAAGTCACATCATCCTCACGTCAGCAATCCTTTGATTACATCATCATCACCCACACAATAGTCTTGGTTGCTCAACTTGGACTAGTTGGGTTCTAGACTCTAGTTCTGATTCACAAAAGCAAGACTCTGAGCCTTCAGACAGTTAGTTGATCAATACAAAGGGGACTCAGATCTGGAGTCCTGGATGGGTTGATACAAAGGAGACAGTGGTGGATTTGTTCACAAAGGACTAGTAGCTACAAAGGACTCATAATTTCTATAAATACCCTCATGTAATTTGTACTTTCTAGCAATCAAGTTACTCTCTACTGTGACTCTTAGTGTGTAGTTTGACAGTCTCCTCAGTTAATGTTCCATCTTGCCTTGTCTTGTCTTGTATTGTCTTGTTCTAAAGTGTGGCTTTGTTGTTCTGCACTACTCTTGTCTTGTTAATTGTCACCTTCAGAACTTGTATGTTCTGCTCAGATCTACCTATTCCTTCTCACTCTTGACCCCTCTTGGCATCTGTACCTTACAGACTCAACTGACCTCTTCTACCTCAACTGGTACTTGAGATTGACATAGGACATTAGGGCAATCAAAGTGATGATCTTAGGAGACTGCTAGAAATCTCAGAACTCTCTACACTTTGTCTGTACCAATCAGATGATAACAGTATAAGAACCTTCTACTTCCTTTAATGTAAATCTTACTTTTCCCTTTTGTATAACATTTCCTGTAGCTAGAATACAGACCACTTAAAATTTTCCTCATACATTTTCACCCCATTTTCTTCCAACCTCTAGCAAAAGGTTCTCTTATTTGTTCTTGTATATTTTGTTATTTTTCTTTTGTTCAGCCATAACCTTTCCCTATTAGTACTATACTTTTCTGGAACTCAGAAAAACTATAAATACAGTTACTCATGTACTAGATACAGAGGGAATTCAGATAGTTCACCTATTGATTTAGCTCTTGTCTCTTGTCTCAAAGTCCTCTAGCATAAGGCATAGTCTTAGTCTTTGTTGTTTTCTGTATTAGATTGTTTGTTGTACACTTTGTAAAGTACACTTTCTGTTATTCACATCTCTCTTCCAAGGTTACAACTGTGCCAGAAGAACTTGCACCTATTCAGAACCACTCTAGTCTCCTAAGACTTGTAGTTTAGCTCCCCCCTCAAACTTAACAATTCACCTGTGTTCTTCTCTTAAACACTTTACAGGAGTTTCATTATTAAAAGTTTAACAACACAGGATTTGTAACAGAGCCCTTCAAGAAGTATACTAGACATACAACCAGAATCTAGTATAAGGTCATATTCATCAGATAAAGATATTGATACAGATGAAGAAATAACTACTCTATTAGATAAAGTAACTATCTCTGAAGAACAGGTAATGTTACCAAAAATACCTCAATATTAGGAACCCTTTCTTTCTAGACATGAAGTAAGAATGGTTACCTTTAGAGCAGACAAGAAATTTGCAGACCTAAACATAATGTACAAGACAAGACTAGGAGAAGAGCAAATACAAAAGGTAAAAGAGAAAATGCAAAACATTACATTATATAATGAATATGTTAAAAGGAAAAGGGGAGAAAGTACAGGAAGTACACCTCTACCTATAAAGAAAAGAAGGTCAGGAACTCTAGAACTGTCTGTAAAGAGGATGAATCTAGCATCCTATTAGTTAACAGAAACTAACAAGCAAGAGGAGTTAGGAGTACTCTAACAAAAATTATCTTATCAAACTAGTAAAGAACAGAAGCTTAGAAAACAGTTAAACAAAGTCTCTAGTATAGTACAGAAAGCTTTACAAGAAAAGGCAGAGGTACTAAACAGATCAGGAATAGGCCCAGAAAGAGATAAAAAGGAATTAGTGCTAAAGGAATTATAGGATTACTTAGACAGGTTTGATAAAGATAAAGCAGATAGATTACCAAAGCATTCCAGATAGGACATAGATATTAAATTGAAGGAAGGAGCAGAATTACCTAAAATGTGTCCAGTATATTCTCTAACTCCTGTAGAACAAGAAGTAGTAGAGGAATTTATACAAGAAAACCTAAAGAAAGGATACATTAGAGAGAGTCATTCTAAAATTGTATTACTAGTATTCTTTGTAGGCAAAAAGGATTCAGGAGCAAGGATGGTTATAGACTATAGGAAATTAAATCAGATTACAGAACCTGATCCATTTCCTATACCTATAATGTACACACTACCAGACTATCTAAAGGAAGCAAAATGGTTTACAACTCTTGACCTTAAAAGTGGATACAATAACATTAGGATAAAACAAGGACAAGAATACTTACAAGCCTTTAGAACACATAAAGAATTATATGAACTACTAGTAATGTAATTTGGAATGATGAATACACTAGTAGTATTTCAGAGAGTTATGAATCAACTCTTTGAAGAATTAATAGGTAAAGGGATAGTAATATATTTAGATGATATTATTATCTATGCTCAAACACAAAAAGAACTATTAGAGCTAACCAAAAAGGGGCTACAATTATTAAGGAAAGCAGACTTTTACTGTAAACTAGAAAAGTGTTTCTTTAATAAACAAGAATTAGACTACTTAGGTTTTGTAGTCAACCAAGATAGACTAAAAGCAGATCCTTACAAGATAAAAGCTATATTAGAATGGTCTAGACCTCTAACAAAGAGAGACATTAGGAAAATACTAGGATTCTTTAATTTCTACAAGAAATTTGTAGAAGATTATTCTGGAAAAGTAAAACCATTATCAAGTTTACTATCATAGAAGAGAACTTTTACATAGGGAGACACTCAAGAAGCCTCTTTTAAAGCTATAAAAGAAGCATTTGCTAAGGTACTAGTATTAGTAAGGCTAAACCATGAAAAGCAGTTTGTAGTAGAAACTGATGTATCAGATTTTGCATGCTTAGTAATACTATCATAAGAACAGGAAGATAAAGAATTACATTCTATAGCTTATTATTCTTCAACTTTTAGTAAACAGGAAAGAAATTATGCAGCACCAGATAAGGAATTATATGCTATTATAAAGGCATTAGCAAACTGGAGACATTATTTAGAAGGAGCCAAACATTAAATTAGAATAATAACTGACTAATCTAATTTGAAAACCTTTCAAAATAAAAAGTAGCTAAACAGAAGGCAAGTAAGATGGGCACTAGAACTAAGCAGATACAACTTCAAAATAGAATACAGAGCAGGCAAGAAAAATAGAGCAGATGCACTCTCTAGAAGACCTGACTATGAGCTGGAAGAAAAAGATAATCAGGAAGTTGTATTACTCCCTTAAGAAATGTTCAAAGAGTCAGAAATACACATTAAAACAATGACAGTAGAAGAAACTACAGAAACAGACTCAGGAACTAATTATAGTAATAAAATACTGTTACTAAGGGAAGGTAAACAGGAAGAAAAAGTCAGAATTGTTTAACAATATTATGATAGTGTTATAACTGGACATCCAGGACTCAGAAAAACTTTGGAATTAGTAAAGAGAACATATTATTGGTTAGGAATAACTAACTGGATAAAAGAATATGTAGATACTTGTGTAATATGTCAAAAGACAAAACACAAGAGAGGAAAAACACAACCACCATTATAACCATTGAAAATTCCAACAGGACCCTGGGAACATGTTACAGCAGACTTTATAACAGGATTACCAATTACACAAACTGGTAAAGATACAGTGCTAATAATTGTAGACAGATTTTCAAAGATAGGAATCTTTATCCCCTGTAAAAAGGAAATAGATTCTAAAGAAACAGTAAAGTTATTTATACAACATATTTTCTCAAAACATGGATTACCTTTGAAAATAACTACAGATAAAGGACCACAATTTGCTAGTAACTTTACTAAGCAAATATGTATACAACTAGGTATTAAACAAGCATTATTAACTACTTACCATCCAGAAACAGATGGACAAACAGAGAGAGTAAATCAGGAATTAGAACAGTATCTAAGGTGTTATATTAATTACAGACAAGAAGATTGGGAGGAGTTTATCCTAACAGCAGAATTTGCCTATAATAATAAGTAACACTCTACTACCAAACATACACCCTTTTACCTGATATATGGAAGACATCCTAACATGACTTTCAATTATAGAAAGTCAAATGTGGAAGAAGCAGACAAATACCTAGAGGAAATAAAGATAGTACAAGCAAATGCTAAGAAAGTAATAGAGAAATTACAGGAACAAATAAAAAAGTATACTGACAAACACAGAGGAAATCTTCCAGAATTAAAGGAAGGGGATTTTGTTTTACTAGATAGTAAAAACTTAAATCTAGCAGTACCAACTAGAAAGTTGGCAAACAGGTATATAGGACCATTTGAAATAGAAAAACAAATGGGGGTAGTAAATTACAAGTTAAAACTACCAGAAGGGATGAATATTCATCCAGTTTTCTACTCAGGATTGTTAATACCTTATAAAGAAAAGGAATACCCAGGAAGACAAGTGTATACTAATCCAGACTCAGAGTTAATCAACAAGGAATGGGAATACACAGTAGAAAACATTTTAGATAGTAGGAAAAGGAGGAACAAATATCAATATTTGATCAAATGGTTAGGCTATCCAGACATAGATAATACTTGGGAACCATTTGGAAAAGGATTAACTAATTCAGCAAAGTTAATCAGGGAATTTCACATAAATCATCCAACAGTAGTAAAGCCACCACAATTAGAAAACTGGTTAACAAAGAGACTAGGGTATGGTTTACTAATAAGTAAAAGAATACCAGTTAAAGAACAGGACACAGGAGACATAGTTCTACAAGAAGAACAAATGTGGAAAGACTGGATGAAAAGGAAATCAGAGTCTTCAGAATACTTTAGTATTCTAGCTTCAGATTTAAGTACAAAAGAAATTAGAGAAGGGTTGGAAAAACTTCAGCTGAACAACAAACCTACTACAGAAAACCAACCTCTGAATAACAAAAGGAGACAAACTAGTAATTACAAGAGATGGCAACCTCAGAAAAAGAGAAACAATACTAGGGACACAGATGAATCTGAAGAAGACTATAGTACATACTATATAAAAACATTACAATTAGAAGAGGAACACACTAATTGTGAGGAAGAGTATAGTAAAATGAAGGAACACAATACTATACAAGGAGATTCTATTATACAACAACTTGAAAGACAACAAGAAATACAACCACAATTTACTCAAGAAGATATAAACAATATTATGGATCCAGATAGGATACCAAGAGCTCTTATTGAACAAATAAGACAGAAATACATAGTCTAGTATGAAGAAGTAGAAGCAGTCAACAAACCATGGGTCAGAAGAACATGGGAAATAATTATGAGTAGTTACTTTTTGAAAGCAAAAAGTGAGGAAGACAAAAACTTCTTGAGGGAAACTATTAAAAAGGGAGTCACTCCTATGGGAGGAGACAACAGACTCTGGATACAGTAAAGGTATAATAGAAAACAGTCCTGAATATAACATTAAACTATTCCTATAATAGATCTTGAACAATGAGAATATTATAGTATGTAGGTCCTAAATAAGACAGTAAACTGTTCCTATAATAAATCTAAGGAAAAGAGATTGTTATAGTAAGGTAGCTCTTAATTGAGTGAGTTAAGTCCTGAACAAGACAATAAACTATTCCTACAATAGGGAAAATTGTAGTATGGTAGCTCTTAACTGAGTGAGTAATGTTCTGAACAAGACATTAAACTATTCTTATAACAAATCTGAAGTACTAAATTGTTATAACAACATGATTTGAGTAAATCAGAAAATTACTCCTAATACAAGGATAAAAAGGGTATTAGTATATTATATGTCTCCTCTACACTCATAAGGACATATAATAAGGTGCTCCATACACACCTTCTGAACAGAAGTAAAACTAAAGGGGGTAACTAAACTGGAAACCACAAACAAGAGGGAATGACTTCCTACTAGTTAAATTTGGTCTTTAGAGTGTACTATTTCAGTCAGGGAGTCTGAATACTAGTCAAGCTAGAGCTAGCTAGTAAAGAACTGGGAGGCAGAGGACACACAGTCCATATTGCAGACTGACACTAAAAGCAGAATAATAGCAACTAAGGTAAAGGTAGAAGCCCTTTTAATAAGTTAACTAGTTACAACTGTTAAAAGGAAAACTATACTCACAAGTGTGGCTCTCACTTTTCAGCCATGAAAGTAGGCTATAAAAATTAGCCAAAATGAAAGGAAAAGGCATTTATATTCACTTTAATACAGAATACAAAAGAGGCAGACTATAAACAGGAAAAGTATCTAAAGGAAAAGATACTAGTACAGGACATACAAAACAAAGGAAACAGAAAAGGGGGGAAGGACACAAATCCTACCCAAAATTAAATCCTAGCCCTATTAATTATAAAGCAAGTATTTTACAATAGTAGTAATACTGTTCAAGAAAGTATTACTTAGGAGGGACTGGATGTTAGGAATTGTAAAATACAGTAACTAAGTTTGGAAAAGCTTAACTCAAGACTTAGAACCAAGTAGTTTATATACAAAACCCTATTAGTCACAAGTCTAGAGATTGGCCAGATCAACTAGGCTACCTTTATTGTCCTGCTTAGTAAGAACTCCAGCTCAGTATTATTAACCTCTAATCATTACTAATAGGTGATCAATCTATTAGCAGAGAGAGGGGACAGGAAGGAGTAGGTACTAAGTCAGTTAGGAAAAGGTAACAAAACCTAAGGACAAGGTCTTTATCTCTCCAAGGTTAAACACATACTCTAGCACAGTATTACTTAATAACCTCAACCAAAGACAAGTCATTTAGAATACTTGTATGGAGAGGGGATCTGGAAAGAGTATAGTGTCCAGAGTAAGAAGTATAAAGGAAAAGACTAGAAGAAAACCTGAAGAGATAAAAGGAAAATATTATACTTACTTAGGGAGAAACTACATAGCTAGCTAGGAACACTTTGTACAAAGACAAAGGACTATTAAAGCTAGTAAAGAGTCAGAGCCAATACTCTGAAGCTCTATGCTTGAGGAGGACTAGTACTAGTGAAGGAAAGGGAACTGAGAGCTCTAAGGAGAGACTACAGGAAAGTAGTCTCCTTTATACACTTTGCTTATATAGATGGGAAAGTAATGAAGTCATAAACATGAGGACTACATAAGGACAACATGAGGAATACATGAGGCAATCTAGAACTTTGGTTGTAAGTTCTATGATTGAATACAGAAGTATAAAGATAAGGCTAGAAGTTAATAAGGATAATTGTCTCCTAAACTAAGTCTATTGAAGAAGACTTAGGGAAAGATCTAGAACATTGGTTGTCAGTTCTAGAGTGTACACAAGGCAGTCTAGAACTTTGATTGTAAGTTCTAGGGACAGTACAGAAGTACAGCCTTTTATATTACAAGAGTCATAAGGAGTCATTAGAAGTCATAATACTCTACCTTATGAGAAAGTGTATTACAAACTAGTATACAGGAAGTACAGGTTGAGTCAGACAGAGTCATAAGAACAATAGAGAGCTCTACTTTATGGGAAAAGCATTACACAGCTTACACAGTATAACTAGTTAGGAGGACTCATAAGGAGTCATTAGAAGCATGAGAGGAAGTATAGAAGACATAACAATACAGTAAAGGAGTTATTAGAAGATTAATCTAGAATATAAGAAGACACAAACCAGTGTCAGCAGATTAATAGAAGACACAAACCAGTGTAGCATACAGTCTAAAGGATTAGCCAGCTCTACTTTATAGAAACAGTAGTGAAGGGAGTTACTAAAGTCACTAGAGTAACATCACTCTAGCAAAAGGTATATAAGGAGGCCAGTTTGGCCCTCAAAGGATAGTTTTATCAACTTAAGTTACCTAGTACTTGGAAGTACTCTACTACCAACCTACTAGACTATACTTGCAGCTTGACTAAAGCAGGACTCCTCTACCCTCTCACTCTACAAGTCTACAAGTCTTACCCTCTATACTCTATTCTGTTACTATTCCTAAGGATTAGGACTAGTAAAGTGAGTATATCTTACATACAGAGAAGTAAATGAGGACAAACTCATTTATGTGAAACTGCTACTAGGCAGGCTACTTACAGATATTAAACCTGGACAAGTGTTACACTTAAATAAAGCATTATACAGATTGAAACAAGTAGGTAGATGATAGTACAAGAAGATTACCAAACTACTACTTAAGATTGGATTAGAATAAGCTAATTACAATCACACTGTATTTTACAAGAAACAAAATAATAAAACAATTCTTGTAACATTTATGTATGTTAACAATATTATGATTATTGGCAAAACTATTACTATAATAACAGCATTTAAACATGCATTAAGACAACACATTGTATTTACTAACAGTAACAAAATACATTAGTTACTTGGTATTAAAATAAGCTAAGATAGACCTTAACAAACAATTAGCTTATAGCAAAAGTACTATATTGAAAGTATAATCAAGTGTTACCACTTCGAAAACGAAAAGGCACTACAAACACCTATTACTCCTAGAATAGATCTATCTAACAATACAAACAATACATACAATACAAACGAAAGTAATAATGAAACAACACTATATATAAATATGGTAGGATTGTTAAGATATGTTACAGACTGTACACAGCCAGACATATCTTATATTACTGGGCAATTAGTGTGCTACTTACAAAAGCCCTAAACATATTACTACAAAGTAGTGAAACATTGCTTTACATATTTAAAATATACAACAAATTGCTAGCTTCAACTTAGAAGTATAAATGCCTTAAAACTATAAGGCTATTGTGATGCAGACAGATGAATGACAGAAGGACATAAAGCAATAAACAGTTACATCTTTCAATTAGCTAAATCAACCATATCTTAGTCAAGCAAACAGTAAAATCTGGTACTACTATCTGTTTACAAAGCAGAGTTGTAAGTGCTAGCATATACTACTCAAAAAGCTATTTGGCTCAAACGATTTGCTGAAGAAGTACTGTAGACTGAATCAGCACTCATTATGATTTATTATAATAATCAAGGTGTAATAAAGACTGTAAAGTCTGACAAAATAACATACAACACTCACATTAAACATCTTAATTTATGAAAAGACTTTGTACAATATTATATTCAAAACAATTACATTGATGTATACTATGTTCAATCACAGAACCAATTAGCAGACATCCTTACAAAAGCTCTCCACATCCTGCAGATCAAGCATCTAAACAAACTATTAGACATACAGTCCTAGTTCTTAATTAATGCTTGAAGGGGAGTATTAGATTGTACTCTGGATTAGGAAATCCCTAATTGCCTTATGTAGAGTTACTACACTTGGAATGTCTCAGACTATTGGACTTTACTATGTAGTATATAAGGCAGACACTTGCTTGATGTCTCAATAAGAGAGAGTACTTGAGGCACTCCTGCTACACTTGTTAAAAGGAGACAATAACAAAACAGTATTCATTAAAGACATTAATGAAACACTAATGCTAGAGTCTGTAATTGTAGAAGCCTTAGTATCAAGTTCTAGCAGCTTACCTGTTCAATCTGCTCTATCTACTGAATCCAACATATTTTCAGCATTCAAAGTACAAGAGGATAGTGTTATACAAGTAGACAACTTTATAAACTTATTTGACAATACAAAAGAAGTCATTGAGGAGTTCAATTACAATCCAAACATATGTATCAATACAATATGTTGTAATGATACTAAAC